TAATATATATATATATATATATATATATATATATATATATTCGTATTTTGGGTCCTTGACTTTTTACAAATTCGTGAAAAAGGAACTTTAAACCTTTTTTCCCGCAAATTCGGTTCCTAAGTTTTCTCTATGTTTCTCTCTCTCCCATCACAATGATTCATACAATCCCATTTCATTTTGAGAGTGTGTGTGTTTTTGGGTGGCACATTCCATTTTATATTTTATTTATAAATTAGTAATTATACAATAGGGACATATTTTTACCATTTATCGTACCACAAGACATGCTGAAAATTTGGATAATATGAAGGTTGATTTTTAACTAATCGATATTTTTTAGGGAAAATGACATTTTCCTACACCGACTTTGTAAAATATGACCTTTTCCTACACGAATTTTTAATTTGACAAAAAATTACCCCAAATTATCAAATATGTCAAATTGATACACGAACTACTCAATTTAACTGCAATTTCCTACACAATTCGAAAACGGTGTTAAGTGTCCGTTAACCGCTGACGTGGCACGCCACGTAGCGGCTGACGTGGCACGCCACATAGATTTTTTTGCCACATCAGCATGCCACGTCGGATTTTAAAAAAAATATGAAAAAAAATCGAAATTTAAAAAAAAATTAATAATAAAATAAATAAACAGCAAATATATATATATATATATTCATATCTATATACAAATAAAAATATAAATATATATACAAAATAAAAAAACATACATATATATATACAAATATATATATATATACATACAAACAAATATATTTATATATACATGTATTTATATATATATGTAGGTGTATATATATAAATATGTATTCATATATATACGTGTATACGTATTTATATATATATATGTGTATATATATAAATATACTTGTATATATGTATATACATATATATTTGTATAAATGCATGTATATATGTGTATATTTTTATTTGATATATATAGAAATATATATACATAGAAGTATTTATATTTATATTTGTATTTATATGTGGATATGAATATATATATATATATATATATAATATTTTTATTTTATATATATGTATGTATGTATGTATATGCATATGTATATATATACATATATATGTATTTATATATGTATATGTATATATAAATATATTTGTTTGTATGTATATGTATATATATTTGTATAGATGTTTGTATATATATGTGTATATTTTTTTATTTTGTATATATTTTTATGTTTTTATTTGTATATAGATATGAATATATATGTATATATATATTTTGCTGTTTATTTATTTTATTTTTAAAATCGATTTTTTTCATATTTTTTCGTAATTTTTTTAAAAATCCGACGTGACATGCTGATGTGGCAAAAAATCTATGTGGCGTGCCACGTCAGCCGCCACGTAACGTAACACGTCAGCGTTTAACGGACACTTAACACCGTTTTCGGATTGTGTAGGAAATTGCAGTTAAATTGGGTAGTTCGTGTATCAATTTGGCACATTTGATAATTTGGTGTAGTTTTTTGTCAAATAAAAAATTCATGTATGAAAAGATCACATTTTACAAAGTCTGTGTAGGAAAATGTCATTTTCCCTATTTTTTATAAATTATTTCACCATTTTTCAATTCTACCCAGAAATAAATTTACGGATCAATAAGTCATGGACCAACCCACACTAATCACACATTTACTATATAAACTATTCAAAAATAATATTTTACTTTAAATTTGTTAAAAAAAATCATCAAATATTAATTTTAATAATAAAAAAAGTCATAAACTATCTAAATTATTTTAAAAAACTATTTTAATTTTATTATAAAAAATATAAAATTTGAATAAGAAACATATATATATATAAATTATACAATTCTGAAAAACACAAAAATTAATATTTATTTAAATATATCATATTGTAATATTTAGAATTTGAACAACACACTAATTCTCCTACAAATGTAGTTGGAGTACACAAGAAATCCTAAAGATATTAACCTGAAATGCCGATTTGCATGATAGAAACAACGTATTAGAACATGATGGATTAATAAAACCATCCTGTATTTTATTTTAGCAGTTTTGATGAATGTACAAATTAATCGATGCAATCTCAGTACATATGAAAAGGGGTAATTTGAGATTCCGATTAAATAATTGGCATCGTTCTTTTCTATTTTTTTTATTATAGTAATAATATTAATATGAATAATATTGAAATGTTTCTTCAGAACATCTTGGGCCAACAAAAGGGAAGTGCCAAATTCCAAGGTGCCTATATATATATATATATAGTTTGTATTGGAGGAATCTCGGAACCTTGTCGAAGCGTAATCACTACTCCAAATTAAATTCACGGAATTTATTTATTTATTTTTGGTAAAGTTTATTTATTTATTTCCTTGAAGTCTTTTCTTGTAAGACATGTAATTTTTTTTTTAAAAAAAAAATATTGGCCTAAAGAGTTCGAGCTCGACATCTATTAAATAATTTTTCATCTATGCCTAATAAAGTAAAATAAAAACTCGTTGAATCAATTTAATTACACATGATAACTAGATCTTTGAATATAAATAACATTTGTTAATGTGCTTTACTTGTAAATATTTGGAAATATGATACATTTTATCTTTAACCAAAAAAGTACATTTTATCTCTGAAAATGACAAGGAAACAACTAATTAAAGATAGATTTACGTGAAAAAATGTAAAACATAAATAAACGAAGAGATGAGGAATTTTGCAATGGGAAACGAATTATTAGTACAAAGTTATAATGAAAAAGTTAGTATATATATAAAAAAATTCTAGAATTCATTCGACGCAAACCCCAAAAACTTTAAACAAATCCATTTGACTTATGGAATGGGCTTGGTTTGACCCCCAAATTATTACAATTTTTTTTGGTAAACCAAATTATTACAAAATTTCATAAAATCTTCTATTAAATTATTGCTTATCTTAAACCACACCACCGCAAACTTCTCATATTAGATTACAACAAAATCTAAGATTAGGAATGCGACAATAATTCCCACATATTATTATTATTATTTTTAAATGCATAAGAAATACTATAAGAGCCATTGACTTCGGTTTAATTTGTCAAAATTTCCCTGTCGTTGCTTCGCAAATATACTTTTAATTAATGCAAATGCATCGCATATACTTGTGCAGCCTTGAAGAAACGACCCTCTTTTAAGTTTTTATATTTATATTATGCAATTTAACTCTCATATATATATATATATATATATAATTACTAATTGCGGTGAATATACGTAACTCAGTGGCTTTCACGTGATAGTATTTTTTTTTTTTGGCCAAATACATTATCAATGGTCATAGTTCTCAAGCTAGGCAGTTTTATTCATCGTTTCTTACTGTTTCAAAGGTCAAATTCCTTGGACCTTTTGTTTCTTTTTTTTTTGTTCCCATTCGGAATTTAAACTAAAAAAAAAAGGGACAAAACAAAAAGAAAGTGGAGAGACCAAAGATCAAGTTGGAGGGACAACGACGCCGACACAGAGTCACACGATGAACTCCATATTTTCAAGATCTCGAGCTCTTATGAGATCTCGATTCTCCGACATCAAAATTCACCGGACGGTGACCGGTAAATGCCACGTGGCAACATATACTCTCATCCTCTTCCTCTTCGTCACCGCCCTTGCCGTCTCCTCCTCTCTGTGGCTTAACTCGGTAAGCTTATCTACATGTAAATTCGATTACTTTGCTATTTCATTTACGATGTTATAATCATTTTATTTTCGCTTCTTCATTTTCTCTAACACAAAATTGAAACCTTCCAACCAGAATCTTTCGAACCGCACCATGACAATAGCAACCGAGACCAACCGAAACCCACCCCAAGAAACCGAAACCCTAATAAATTGCACAAGTTTTTTGCACCTAAACCGGACACAAACCGGTGGATTCTGCCCTAAACCGGCACGAACCGGGAATTCCCAAACGGAATCTCACCGGACATGTCCGGATTACTTCAAGTGGATCCACGAAGACCTGAAGCCGTGGCGAGAGACGGGTATAACGAGAGAAACGGTGGAGAGGGCAAAAACGACAGCACATTTCAGGCTGGTGATCGTAAACGGCAGGGTGTTTGTGGAGAAGTACAAGAAATCGATCCAAACGAGAGACGTGTTCACGATATGGGGAATTCTTCAGCTTCTAAGGAAGTACCCAGGTAAGTTACCTGACATGGAACTCATGTTTGACTGCGATGATCGACCGGTCATCAGATCGGACGGCTACAGAGGAGCGAGAACGAATCGGACGGTGGAGGATGGACCTCCGGCTTTGTTCAGATACTGCGGTGACAGATGGACGGTGGATATTGTGTTTCCGGACTGGTCTTTCTGGGGATGGTAATACACTAACATCTCTCTCTCTCTCTTCCTTTTAACGTGTATGGTTGTTATGGTACACTTGTCCCCACCTGAATATGTAGGGAA